AACCCTTTTAGAAAGGAAGATATGCTCATTTGTTCTGGGAATGTCATTTTCGAGCCTGAAACCTGAAAAACCGGCTTGGGGCCTAACAGGTTAAAAACATTAAAAAGAAAAGACACCATCTAGAGCACAAGCGCTGCTTTAATCCACAGTTTCTCTCCATCAAGCACACACACACACACACACACACACACACACACACACACACACACACACACACACACACAACTGCACTGTTGGCACAGCGATGCGAGAAAATGCTGATTGACAGACTCGTGACAACACGTTCACACTCGAGAGGTGTTGGCAGCTGTTCAGCTTTGATCCATCCAGCCTTGACTCTGTATATATTTATAAATATATCTCCCTCTCTCTCTCTGCCGCTCACACATGTACTCACCTGATCTCGCTCCAGCAGTCTGGTAAAACACACACACACAGCAACCACATGGTGCTCCTGCCACGCACTGTACCCCTGGGGGTTGATGCTTTTTGGGTTTCCAGCCACAGCATCTCTGTGCATTTCTGTGAAATGGATGAAGTCCACCTGTCTAACCTTCAGGACAATAACTCTCATTTGTCTTTCCAAAAAACATGAACAGGTTTGCGCACCAACAGAAAACATGTCTCTTAACATGGTATTCATAAAGGGGAACAACATATTGATATATTGGGTTTGATAAAACCCAGAAGCCAGAATGAACTGGATAATGCATCCTGTTCTTTATGCCCTACATTTGGTACAGAATAAATGTTCAATGGGATTATTGTGATTGTTTCTGATGCAATGCTTGTGTGTGATTGGCTGTGCGTCTCATATCTGTTTTATTTCCTCTGCTGTACTCAGGCCTTCAAAAAGAGATTCCTGATCTCAAAGAGAATGCTTTATAAAATAAAGGCTGTAATAATTGAAGTCTTCTGAGCCTAACAGGGACCCGCCTTATGAAGCCTGTTGTGATTGAACTATTTACCCAAAGTTAAAGAGAAGTATCTTTTTGAATATTTTATTTTAAAACAAAAATATAAAGACAAAATGTTCATGCTGGTGTGAGATTAGATGAGATTCAACTTTAGTATCACAACATAAAGCAGTACAAATGCACAACTTTTGGATATTACGTATTTCCAAAATACGTCCATGTACAATGCCATGTCTCCTTTAATAAACTCTATACAGTATATGTATATATATATATAGTGATGTATTGCCTTCAGCAGAATTCTGACGTATTGAGGTATTACCATGTTAGGTTATTTTATACCTCTACTATCCAGTCGTATCATACTTTGCGTAACCCTACGTTTTATTGACTATAGATGAAAACTTGAGATTTTGCATACAAACATCAACTTTTAAATTAGCAAGCATTGTTGCAGATTACACCATCAATTAGTGCAGATAAAGAAAACAATCTGTCTCACCAGCTGCAGCAAAATGTGCATTTGCATTTTCTCGAGCTTTACCCTCTCAGAAGGTTTCAGATCATTTTAGCCTCAGCTTCATCACTTTGATACTAAACTACTGAAGCTGTCTTCCAGCAACTTCTGCATGTTTCAACCTTTTTTACATTATTTTCTCCACTGCAGACCTGTGAGTACTGACCCCTCCCTCCCCTCCTCTTCTTCATGTGTAGGGTCTGCGAGCGGCGGACAACGACCCCACCGCCCCCCCCTACGACTCCCTGCTGGTGTTTGACTACGAGGGCAGCGGCTCCACCGCCGGCTCCGTGAGCACCCTCAACTCCTCCAGCACGGGGGACCAGGACTATGACTACCTAAACGACTGGGGCCCTCGCTTCAAGAAGCTGGCCGACATGTACGGAGGAGGCGACGATGATTAAATAGTCACATATCAAACACACACACACACACACCCTCGTCCCGTCAGCTGGCCTGCCATGCTCTGTCTCTACAACACATGGAGCTCTAACACCCTTACTGAACACAAGTTAACAATGACATGTTCCCACCGACCAACCAACCAATCCAGATCCCCCCCCCCCCCACAGTGAGGAAACAGCGGTCT